TTGTTGCTCCATGTATTGTCAATCTTTGCTCTGCTCTATTTATCATATTCGGATCCGCCCGACAACGATCAGCAGCACAAACAAGACGAACTCTAAAAGAACATGTTTATAATCAACTTAGTGAACACAAACAACTGCTAATTAGTCCAATGATTCTTCTAATTCTGTCCTTACCCCGTCTGATTATGTCAATGTTATCTGAATGTGTCAATCCATCTAATCATCGATTGTTATTTATTTTTGGTTATTTCATTTCATTTACTCCATCGATGCTTATCTTTATTGTCTTTGTCATTCCTTCAGCATTGTACAGAAAAAAATTTCAAGAATCATTTAAACGACCGCGACGACTAATTCATTAATAATCAATGTTACTTCATTATTTCAGAACTTTTCTAATTTATTGGTATATTATTCACTTCGATTTAACAATTGATCTAGAAAAATACCGATCGAACAGAATAACATTATCCGTCTTTTGCACAGATTATCGAATATTGGAAAACAAATTTGATGAATTTATGGTGATATTATTTCTAACCAGTTGAAAAATGAAGAACACCTCGGATGAAGACGAAATCTCACAAGTTTCGAAAGTATTGTTTCTGAAAAAAGTTTTCATACCAATTTCTCAGCTTGTTATGTAATAAAGTCTTATGTCAATAAAATTTTCATCCCTAAATAAATTATTTATAGACTGAAAATGATTAGACAAAATGTCGGACTAAAGATAAAATAGAATTGAAATCTGCTTAACATTTCAAAAGTGATCATTTTGAAAGGTTGTGTTGTGACTTCTCTTAACACTTTCATTGATTATCGTTAACAAAAATGAATAAGATTATATTTAATGAATTAATTAGATCTTTTTTAGAAAACATCAAATGATGCATCTTTTCAGAATAATGATAAATATCAAATACGAATAGTATCATTTTTTATGTCGCATTTATATGATGATAAACTTCATTAGCTCATTCTCATTCGTAGTGAAGAATGAAATTCGATCGAAAAATTTTACTTAGATTATCTGAGACAATCAAAAGCTGATTAGTAAGATCTGCTCTATTGTAGCCACCCTATCGCAAACATCCATCTGTGGAATATCAAAAAGTGCTTCACTTTGTTTTATTGTCAGTAAAATGAGTAATTGTAGCTAGAGAAAACAACCGAATCCTTTTACAATTCAATATGTCACATAGAGAAAATAAGTGAATGAAGCAAAACTGTTATTTGGATTGAATTGAATAATTATTTTCTTGCGTGAAGCATAAACACACATAATGTATGAAGAAAGAGTTTAGACAAGGAATTGAGGGTGGACGTGGGTGTAAATGAATAATAGATCGTCGCACTCTCAACTCGACGTCAAAACTAAGTGTATCACTTGTTTTTGCTAAAAGTATTAACAAATCCATTTGCACCTGCTAGTATTCGAATACTAATGGTACCAGGACGACGTCGATGCGCACATACATTTCCAATGGGTAAAATAAAATATTTTTATCATTAATATCATCAAAAACATACTCTTATTTTTATCTTACATCCAGGTCCAAATAAATTACCATGGCATTTTCATCATTTACGTCAAACAGAAAATACAGCTCATAAAAAATCTAATGCTGATGGTTCAATGAAATCATTAACTTCTAAAAGTGAGTTAATTAAATATTTTAGGTTTTGTTTTCGAGACAGAAATTTGTTTTAGGAGAGAAAAAAGAAGCAATTATTTGGGGACCAACTGGTGTTGAACCATGGAGTGCATCGATGATTACTGGTATTGATTGGAAATCTTTAACTATTCCAGCATCACTTCCAACAACATTTGATGTTGTACCATCTGCTGAAGAATTAAATCGTGATTATACACATAATTCATATACATTAATTCATGCTTTACCATCACAAGATGAATATGATCGAAAGATAAAACATATGTTCAATGCAAGTAATAATTATGATAATATGGAACGTCAAAGAATAACTTTTGATGAATTAATTGATCAACGATTATCACAAGTGAGATATTTAAAAGAAGAATTTTTTTTAATATTTTCAGACTTAGGGTTTTCAAATGATTGTTGAAATTCCTGCACATATTCATCAAAAAATGATTGATTCAATTCGACGAGCTGGTTGTAAAGAAACTGAATATAATCGTTTATTAAGTATTGGTAGAATATATCATACGTTAAGTCTTGTAACAGAAGAAAGTCAATAACAAGATACAGTTGTTATTTATGTACAACAACATAAACCTCAGTTAGTAAAATAAAAATAAAAATATTCTATTCTAATTCAATTGAATTTATTAAAATATGTTTTTCAACCTAAATCTGTTATGTATAAATATCGTTTTCAATGTCCAGATTCTTCAGATTATGATTTAGCATATTATGAATTACAACTGGATAGTTTAGAATCATTTCCATGGAATTCAGTTGATAATGTTGTTGGAGATCATGGTACAGGCGATCATAAATTATCTGATGTATGTATACATGAAATAGAATTCTTATTTTTCATCTAATCATTCCTCTCGTTATTCATAATAGAGAAGGAGAGAGTCGAGAAAGATATATTTGCTTTTCATGTTATTTATTTTTAGTTAATAAAATATTGGCATACACGTCTTGTTCTTATGCTTGTGTCAAAAGATTATACAATTCGAAATATTGAATCTGGTCAAACAAAATGTGATAGTCGTGAAGAAATGTCACATGAAGATTTTTTTCTTTATGTTGAACATTTTGTTCGATTTTTATTTATGCTTAATGAACTTAATCGAGTACCTATTGGATCAACTAAATGTATACATCGAGTGAATATATAACAAAACTTTATTTTTTTTATTTAGTCTCTTGATCCATTAACTGGTAAAAAACGAGCTGATCCTCCTAAACGTCAAGGAAAAACTTTGTAAGATTATTCTATTTTATTATTTTTCTTAATTTTATTTTTTGTTTTTAGAGTTGCAATTGAAACATTTAAATTAGTTGATATAATGTCTGGCGATAAAGATGCAATAAATAATTTATTTCGAGATGATCAACAAGATTTATTATTTATTAAAGATTCTATAATATCAAAACATACTTTCATTGCAATTGACGCTATTTGGTGGTCAACTGAACATTGTAAAGATATAGAAAATGAAATTCAGATGTTTTATTTTATTTTTAGTTTATATTTACTGAAGGACATATTCGACATCGTACAAATATCGAAGCAAGTTTTCGTTTTGGATTTTTTCTGTATTATATTGTAACAGAAAAAACAAAAACTTGTAAATATATTTTTTTTCTTGATTTAAATGATTACGTTGAAGTTGAATTTCATTAAACTCAAACATATATTCCATAACATATGCAATACTTTTACAATTAGTGTTAAGAACAGAGTATAGTTCTTCTATTCAGGTTACGAGAACTCCAACAATAAGACTTTCGCCATGTGAACCTGGAATTTATTCTTCGTTATTTACAGAAAAAAAATTATTTTTTACACTATCATGCACTATAAGTTGCGTGTCATGATTCATTCTGTTGACTTTATGAGTCACTCACATACTTTTAAAATTGCCGTATGATTACTAGAAAATATTTTTATCATCGTAAGGTAAGAAAACAAATACTCCCATTACGACGTAAGAAATGGTTGCATTTTATTCAGCTGTTTTTATTTAATTGGGAAAAAATATTTACACGTTCTGTAAAGCAATAATATTGAATAATATTGCTACATTTATTTGCAAAATGGCAATGTCAACATTAGAATCACTTCCAAATGAAATATTAATTAATATCTTCGAAAAGTATATTAATGGTGTGGATATAATTATTGCTTTTATTGATCAACAAAATCAACGTTTCAATGGATTAATTATGCAATGTCGACATCACAATTTTAATTTTGTTAATTGTCAAAAAGATTGTTTTCATTATTGTATCAATTTTTTACCAAATTATATTGGCAAAATTAAGAAATTAGTTTTATCTGATCATAACACTCCTGGTCAAATTTCAACTTTTTTATTACGTTTTCCGTTGTTACACAATTTTAGAAATATTCATAGACTATCTATTAACTTTAATGCAGAAACTGTTTCTTGGATAAGAATTCGAAATGCTCTACGTTCTTTATCTACCACGAATATTCACACTTTAATAATTAACGTAATACATATGGAAAGACCATCAAGATTGAATTATATTAATTATGATATGTTTGATTTACAAAGTATTAAACGAATAGATCTACTGAGCGATATTTCATATGATGATTGGGGTTTATTACCAACTTTGTTCTCAAAAATTGAACATTTGACGAGCATTAGAATGTCATGTGACTTTCAATATCTCTGTTCTATTTTACAGAATGCTTTTCATCTCAAATATCTTAACGTTAGACTAGATTCTTCGAGCCTTAGTCGTTTTTTTAAACCGTATCAACACACAAACGATAGTATTATATCAATACCTGTTCTTCATACATTTCTATTGTCTTTTCAATCTACTGACCCAACAACATTCGAAAAGCTTGCATATTATTTAAGACGTATGCCTGCTTTACGTCGCTTAGACATTAAAGCACATGGAGCACTTCTTGATGCAAATGCTTGGGAGGCTTTACTTCAAACATCATTACCTCAACTTACCCATTTTCGCCTTAAAACAACTACATCTTGTATAAATAATATAGAATTGGAAAATATATTAGCATCATTTGAAACTCCATTCTGGATCACAAAAGATAATTTTTATCTGATAGTCACAAAACATAAATATCTAGATACGAAAACATTGCATTCATATAAATTACAAGTCGATAATGAAGATGAGTTTAATCAACCAGTTATACAATGGTGGATAGTACCATTTCGTAATCGCCTGGATGATATTCCTACCAGTGATATCATTAGTTTTGGTATTTCTGGTGTAGTCAGGTCTTTATCACAATATTATTACTTCAATAATATTGAACATCTTGTAATTTATGATATGAATGAAGGTTTTTCTAATTGGATTTTAAAATATATCAATTACTCGCAAATTAAATATCTTGATATTTCATACATAGACAAAGAATCGAATATTATTGCTTTACTCTTATTACAACTTAAAAATATTATTTCTCTTCGAATCGATTATCAGCATTTAGTAACTTATAAAAATGTTTATTTGGAGAACAATCATTGTATGAAATATCTTGATATCTCTGTTAATAAACACAATTTTAATGAAGAAGACATCATGATGATCGCACAACTATTTCCTAGAATCGAACATCTTATAATAAATACAAATATGTTAGAAAATGTTCCGTTATTAGAGAATTATATACCTCATCTTTGTAGTCTTACTTCGAACATAATCGATGAATCATTTCGGCGTTATAAAAGTTATGAACGTAGACTATGGGTTGATAATCTGCGACAAAAATTTCAAGTCTCATTTGAATTTGCAATAGACAACGGAATGACAATCTGGATTGATCAAGCTGCATTGAATGAATCGTACTGGCAAAATAAATAAAAAGATTAAAAAACCAGGTGTTAATTCAATGAACACAAATAAATATTTTTGAATGAAAAAAATTATCTTTTATTTATTATATTCTTGATTAAACTTATGTAAATAAAATTTGTTCGATTTTGTTAAAATATTCTATTCGGAGTCAGAAATTATTATTCTTTTATAGTCATTATACGACGTTAGCGTAGTCAGATTCTTGCAAGTGAACTAATAGATGCTGCTTTATAATTTATAGCCACTTGTATATGGATGAGAGACGCATTAGAATAATGTTCCTTTTATATATCATGTAACTTCTTCGATAAATTTGTTTCAATATAAAAACTATTTTACATATTTTGAAAAAAAAATGAGAAATAAGTTACAATATTGAAAATATCAAAATTTTTCATGATAATTTTTCAGAATCTCAATAGCTGCTTGTTGAATATTTTTCATTGTTCGTGGCATAAATGTATCGATAAAATGTTTTTCATTATTTGCAGCACTTTTGATAATATTCATTAATTGTTCATTATTATAAATTATGTGATAATATTCTTGATGAAATGAAATAAGCCATAAAATATTTAATATTAATGTACATGTAAAATTTTCTAATGCACTACGATCAACAGATAGATTTTCATAGAATTTTATAAGTAATGATATAAAAAGTTCAATGAATGAATGAGGTGTTAATATTGATTGTATTTTCGGTTTATTAAGAATATCAATTAATATTTCATCATTATAAAATAGTTTCGTAAGTACTGTTAATGGTTCACAAATATGTGAACCATCATAACGATGATTTGCACTATTAGCTGCATCGATAATTAATTGAACAAGCATATTTAGAATCGGTATTGATTCTAATTCTATCTGATTTACATCTGTAAGAAGTATATAAATCATAGTGCGCTGTAATAATTGAGATGGTTCGATTGGTACATGTTGGATAGCATTTAATGTATTAAGACTACGAAATTTATCAATACCTTCATCATGCCGAATCATATTTAATAGAATAGATAACAATGCAATTTGTTTCTCTTCTCGAAATTTTGTTTGACAAGTATTTATCCATTCAATAAGACTTTTAGCATAATCAGCTTTTAATAATAATGGTATAAGTATTGTACTATCTGAAAGATTCCAAACGAATGAAATTATTCCATCAGTTAAATCATCATGCGTAAAATCTTGATCAACATATTTACGCATTGCAAGAAGTAATTGATATTCATAGTCATTGAAAAGATCAATATCAGAACACCATAATATTGAGATAAGACCCGATGCTAATACCATGATGAGATTTATATTGGATATTAAAAATGTTGTAGTTTTCATTGTATATATATCAATATGATTAATAAGAAGATCAAAAGATGTACGAAGAACTTGACGTGTAAATGAGTGGTCATTTTTAAAAAGATCTTTTGACCAAGCAACAGTAAATACATTAGTTAAAAAAGCTCGACTACAATTTAAAAAAAATAGTTCATCGTCCGATGCAGTAGCAGCAGCTTCAAGAACTCCCGACCAATGTTGAAGTAATTGTTGAAGAGCATACTTTACTACTTCATCAGAATCGGTTACATTTATTTGATAAAATTTGTTGATTTTCGAAAGAATTATTTCAGAACGAGATGGTAAATTCATCTGTTTGGATCCTTAAATATTAAATTGAGAATAAAAATCGTAAGTATAGATATATGTATCAATGAAAAAGTATTCAAATTCTACTTCTAATATATAAAAAAAAAGAAAACGTGTTCTTATCTATATCAAATAAAACAGTATTACTCGTTTATATCAGAAAATAAAACATGTGTATGCATAATCATGATGTCATTTTGAAAAACAAGCAAAGAAATATTATACAGCTAAATCGTTGTTACGCTTCATGTCTTTTTTAATTACAATTGCTTCCTTAATATCGACCTTCATAATTTATGTTTTCCCTTCTTTTTTCATTTTTTAACGGACATATAAAATTATATTCATATAGTGAGATAAACACCATTAGAATAATGAGATACTTCAATATGTATTATTGTGCACTTGAGCAAGAAGAAAATATTTGAAAAAAATCCCGAACTCATAATAAGTAAACTAAAAATTGATGTGGTTGAAAACGCTAACATCCTATTCATTTCATCAAGTTGATTTATATCTGTAGCATTGAAAGAGAAATATCCGTTAGCTAATAGTAGAAGAATGACGATAAAAAGTAATCAAGCAGCAAAAGATATATTACACTATACATGGCACTTGTATGTATAATCATTTATCATTTATGGTATTATTATTAATGCTAAAGACTGATAGTTCAATGTAGCGAAACATATCCATCTAGAAATTATTACAGATCTGTATACCTACGAACTACATATGTATCATACATAACGATCCTTATTTTTCGATAATTAATTTACAAATTTTCTAAGACCAGTGTATAAGATCACCTTAATAACAGGTTGAATATACTACTTACAAGATACAAACCATCTTAAGACTGGATGAAAAAATATGAAATCTAATCAACCTTCTTTCTGTATTTGTCTCTTGATGTGAAGACTTAATTTCAATCAGGGAAAAAACAATGGGAGAGAATCTACTCTCCAAAGCTAAAGCAAAGCCCTTATATACTCAT